CTTTCTTTCTTTCTTTCTTTCTTTCTTTCTTTCTTTCTTTCTTTCTTCTTCCTTTCTTTCTTCTCTTTCCTTCCTTCATTCCCTCTTTCCTTCCTTCCTTCCTTCCTTCTTTCCTTCCTTTCCTTTTCTTCGAGACAGTGTTTCTCTGTGTAGCTTTAGAGACTGTCCTGGAATTTTCTCTGTAGACCAGGCTGGCCTCGAACTCACAGAGATTCTCCTGCCTCTTATCTATATTTCTTTAATGATGATGTGATTGTTCAAATCAGACCAACTCAGTTTCAGAGTCAATCCTTCTCTCCCTTCTCACCTAGAATCCCCAGTCAAGAGTAATATGAAGCCAGTGGGAGACTCCTTATTTTATTTGACAAAGGAAGGTAAGGGACGAGTATAATTCTGTTTCTATGATGGAACCCCTGAAAGCATCCTTAAAAATATCCTGTCACCATTAGTTCGTCTTCAGTCAGACCCCATACTGCATATCCGAGACAGAACACTGAAGTGCTCATGATGACTGAGGGTAATTCTCCATCAAAACACCAAATACGACTGTCTGAAACCTGTCCATCAGCATAATGCATTATAGTTACCAACTATGTCCTTTCAGCAGAGCAGGAACAGGGAGTAATTACTCACCATCAGCTCTGGTAAAACAAAAAAGGAGCCATATCATCTTTTAAAATCTGAAAAGCAGTAAGTTTTAGTTGTCAGTGCCCATTGTGGCTTCACTGCTGAGATGTCCTCCCTTCCCCGTCTCTCCGAAGGTCTGTCTAGATTTCTCACGCCTAGTTTCCCTGCTTGTACATTCTTGATAATATGGAGGTCTTTGCATGCTGACCTGGGCAGCATACTGCAGGTCTGCGTCAGCAATTCTTGATTTTTTCTTGAACTTTATGAAGGCTCTTATGATCTTATCTATAATGCCCATCCAGGCCTGAGTCTTCTTGGACAAAGCCAAGCTTTGCCCCGTGTTCTTTGGGCCACGATGCCTGAGACTGTCTCCCCATTAACACACTAGCTTCTGTCTTCCCTCTCTTTGGCATTGGACCTCAACAGAGAATGGTTTCTTTTTTAAGGCCTTCATTTCATCATTGCTCCTTTGATCATTCATATATATGTGTGCGTACATATATATACACCAACCTGATTTCAATCCCACGAACCCACATAGCAGGAGAGAACTGAGTCCTGAAGGTTGCCCTTTGACCTCTCCACATGGATGTCTTGGCATGCTCTATCGGCCCAGATAACTACGTAATCACAGCATTAAAACAAACAAACAAAAATCACCCCCTCAAAAAAAAAAAAAAAAGAAACAAAACATTGTTCATGATTCTCTGGGAACTTTCTGGAAGTTTTAGTTTGAGATTCTACCCTGGGACCCTGAAACTCAGAGGCTATAATTCCCAAGAGAGAGGGTATCTTTGGGACCAAAACGTTTCAGAGGGTGCTGAGAGAACTCATAGTTTGTAATACAGAGTAATTATTGCGAAGAACCCAATCCTTCCCCTACATGGGTTGCTCGCCGAGTAATTCTTGAGAGTCCTGCTGTTTCGCCATGATCCTATAATTTAAGAAATTACTGCAGAAATATCAGGCATTACTTATGAGATTTAAAATTCAGAGGGAAAGAAACAGCTCTTGGACTCTGCCCCAAGGACGTTTTGAATGGATTCCAGGCACTCCTTCCTGCTTTGTGCTGATGGATGTTCTGTTTGGCTAGAGCCTGCTGCTTCACAGTTTCAGTGCCATCCTCGAACTTCACAGAAATTCCCAGAGGCAAAATCAGCATCTGCCCCCTGTTCTCCATTGCTTGAAAGAAATATTACCGAGGACCGTGAGAAAACTTAAGGAAATTACGAGATGCTTAAACATGTCCATCAATCAAAGCTCTTTCTAATTTTTACAGATCTTCTAGGGAATTTTAAATGAAACTTCAGATGCAGCAGGGGCTGGTTGGAATAAAACGACAGCACTTAGAAAGTCCATGCAGGACGGCCTTTATAGGTCTAGAGGATGCTAGATTCTTGGCTAACTATGGATTTTAAAAGGTATTTTTGTAAAACAGAAACCATCTTTTGGATTTGGGTTCAGATGCAAACTCAAAATCATGACTCATGGTTTCTTTAATAAAACATGTTATAAGTCGGAAGACCTCCTCAGCGCTCAGTGCCCGACGAAGGGGACTCTCTTGAAACCACTCAGGCTTCGTTTGTGACTTTTCACCCAGCAGATTGTCACATGAAAGCCCCAGAAGACACAGCTTCCCACGCGATCAGCGCTCTGCTGTGTTTGGCGGAGCCTCTCTGCCCATTCCTTTGTACTCAGAATGCCCGGAGAACCAATGACACTGGCCCCTTTTCCCGGATGGCGTGTAACTATAAAAACACGTGTCCCGGACTCTGCTCTGTGTTATCCTCTCTTCTGCTGACCTATTTGTGGCAGCGAATTCCAGGATCAAGGCTGAACTGTTTGTGCTGGCTTTGGTGGGAGAGAGGAAGAACCTAGGCTTTGTTTATGTCACCTCCTGTTCCTTCCTGACAGTTTCTTCTCGAAGCAGAAGCTCTCCCTTGGTAAGCTGCAGGGCTCATTTCTCAAGGTTAATTCTGGATGCATTCTGCCACAGACCAAGAGGCGATTGCTTTCCCAATATTCCTCCAACTCCCTTCTATCAAGCAATAATCGAGCAGAAAGGGGAACTCTGGAAAGATATTGCAACACACACACACCAAATATGTGAAACCTCTCTTTTTGCGAGAGCCCTAAAACCCTTTTTGCCCCCTAAACTGAGGGTCAAAGTTTCTAACCATTTCCCTTTTCCTAGTTTTAAAACTAAAATCGAACCTAATGTTTGCCAAATGCATTTCAGACTTTCTGGTTACAGGCCAAGTTCTCACACTAAGCATTATGAATTTGCAATGAATTCATAACATTTAGTATTCATGGTAATAACACTGATCATTATGAAAAGATTTAATATTCATGAGGGTTATACTGCTATTTTCTCAGGTGCTGTGATAATTTTTATAATAATTCAGGTTTTCTTAATGGGCAGTTGGCATAATAGAATGTGATCCAAGAGTTTTGGTTAAGGGACATTAGAGAAAAAAAAGTGGGACATTAATACAAATTTCAAAATTTGATCTTCCGTGAGAACATTTGGTCAGTGTTGCTCTGCGTTATTAAAACAAGCTGTGTCTCCACTAACCGCCCCTGACATGTCCAACCGTCTCTCCATTGCATATGCGAGCTCATGACTGGGGAAGTTCAAAGGTCAAAAGGGAGGGAAAACAAAAACACCCGCACGTCCATTTCTTCTGGGGGGTAAAAGTACTTTTAGGCCCCGAGCTGGCGCTGGCCTTTGTGTCCTCGCATTTGCTTGTTACCAGCACGTACACTTGGAAGTGTCTCCCCCCCCCCCCGGTATGCCATCTGTTTCTTTGCAATTGGGGATGGTTGAATAATTTCCTGAGGAATTGCTGACAAGATGTGGCCCAGGAACAGTAATCCAGCAGGACCAGATTTCTCATTAAAATCGGTAAGCTCAGCTGTGTTACAGCAAGCTCTTGATTTAAGGTGGTCACCCCGGCCGGGGAAGGTCAGGGGAAGCAGCTGCCCACTGAAAACAGCAGGCGGTGACAACTACCTAGACAACGTGTAAGAAAATCCAGGCACAGGACAGTAAGCCATCACTTGCCCCAAAGAGGTATTTTTAGGGGTCTCCCTACAACCAAGATCATCTTAGCTGATCGAGAGTCCCCTCTCGTCCCCTGTGGTGGCTGAGGGCGGGTTGGCTGCAACTCACATATCATACGCTTTAAGACGAGACTCCAGCCCTCTATTCCCAGTGTGAAGGGGTTGGCGTGCATGTTTCCTTTCTTGGAATTTTCCAAGGAATTGTAACATAGGCTGACCTTGGTCTCCAGTTACTCTTTAACTTCTCAACAGGTAGAGCAGGAGGCAACTAGACTCTGCCAGGGTCCCAAGCTGGTGATTGAGATATTTATATTACTTCATTTAATGTCCTCAACAACCCCATATCTTATGTATTATTATTATTATTATTATTATTATTATTATTATTATTATTTATTGTTGAGACTGGGTTTCTCTGTGTGCCCCATGACTGTTCTGGAATTAGCTCTGTAGACCAGGTTGCCGAGCTCATACTCTAAGAGATCCGCCTGCCTCTGTCTCCCGCGTGCTGGTATTAAAGGTGTGTGCCACCTCTGCCTGGATATGTACTATTATATCTACATTTTGTAGATAAAGAAACTGAGTCATAGAGACCTTCAAAAGTTGCTTCCAAACTCAGAGTTGGCAGCTGATAAACCCGGAGCCCTATTGTCAGCATAAACTTTGCACCCTCACCGCCACCCCAGAGTTTCATCTCCTGAAGTAGAGCCAACCAGCACCGAGACAAGATGCAACAGAGAAGAGGATTAAAGGCGAAATTCCTGCTCCCACATCAAACTAACTGGAAGACAAGCACTGGGTTGGTGGGTGCTGGGAGGTTTTAACAAGCTCCCCTGGTGATTCTGATACATACTAAAATATGAGAACCACTGTCCTACAGCATAATAAATGTTATTTAATTAATTGCTTCATTAAATATTGAACAGCTAAAGTCATTATAGAGCTCAGAGTTGAGCTGGGAGAAATTAAAAGTAAAACTAGTGCCATGGTGGAAGTGGGGATGGGGCGGAGGTGTAGAATAAAGAGAGCCAGGCCGAGGCCTTCTCCAGGAGTATGTTTCGGGACTAAATTCTAGCGCCGTAGCCATGATGGCCTTAAACTGAGACAACCCTGTCCATCTTCTTATGTCACAATTCCATGAACCCTGTCGTAGATGTTGGCACACATGCCCCAGGCACATCTGCTACAGTCTCTCACTTACCTCCTAGAAGAACCAGATGTTGTAGGTATGACGCATCTGTCACAAGCACGGCACACAGCGGTTGTACAGAAGTACCTGCCTCAACGAAATAGTCACCAGGGCACCCTTCCGCTTAGGATGTTACCATGTTTGGGATGGCATCCCTACTTTTAGTCATGGGATTCTCCCATCTACTACTTTCAGGGAAGGAAGGTTGTCTGGGTTTAGGTCATGTAGTCTGTCAGTTGAGGTGGGTGAGGTTGGCAAAATAGAACTGATGGGGAATTCTTTTTAATGACAGGTTTCAACTGGTGTTAGGATAGAAAGGGTGTTGACAGAGCTCGGGGTGCCTCCAGAAACACGAGATCTAGTCTCTGAACATCCCCTGTTCCTCCCCGATCACTCAGAGGAACTTCTGAACCCCTCTCTATTTCTTAGACTACAGGAATCCTGATGCGATGGCTGCCATGAATCTTTGAAAGAAGGGAAGGGTTCAGACTGTTGCTTAGTTTCTCTTTCCCAATTTCAATGTCAAGCATTCCAACTGTTCTGGTTCAGGGTGCATCTTGTTGCCAAAGTATTTGGATAGGACCAAGGAGATACAGCACAGAGGGTCGGGAGTCTTACATCTGTCTGGGAAGAAAAGTCCTACCTTCCCAAGAAAGAGTGATTGGAAGAACCTTCCAAGGGTTGGTTGCTCAATCAATGGTCAGGATATAGTCTGCTAATGCACCTATGTTGTTATTTGTTATGCTTTTGCTCTTTGGGAGGCCTGCCCAGCTCCCAAATAAATTACACTCAGAGGCTTATTCTTTCTTATGAATGTCAGCCTTAGCTTGGCTTGTTTCTAGCCAGCTTTTCTGAACTTAAGTTATCTTATCTTCTTTTTGCCTCTGAACTTCTTCCTTGGCTTACTTCTGTGTATTTTATTTTCATTTTTACTCTGTAGCTGGATATGTGACAGTGTGGCTGGGTGGCTGGCCCCTAGAAGCTTCCTCTCCTTGTTCTTGTCCCCCCTTCTTTCTCTCTTTCTATTTATTCTCTCTGCCTGCCAGCCCTGCCTATTTCTTTCTCCTGCCTTGCTACTGGCCATTCAGCTCTTTATTAGACCAATCAGGTGTTTTAGGCAGGCAAAGTAACACAGCTTCACAGAGTTAAACAAATGCAACATAAAGGAATGCAACTCATCTTTGCATCATCAAAACAAATATTCTACCACACTTCTAAGCTTATTTTTCCTCTGGGTAGAAGAGAGTTGACTGTTAGCATGTAGGAGGCAGTTCTAGAGACACAGCTTTACATAGAAAGAATTCAATGGAGTCCACAAAACTGGCAGCAGTTCTCCTTCCCCTTGATGCAGCCTCCAAAGATTGGAGAACCAAACCAAACAAACCCCCAAATTATGTCAGCTGTGAGAGGTGCAGGTTACCTATAATGAATCTTGAAATTAGGTCCTGATGAGCGAGGATTATGTGCATTACTTTTATGAATGACTTAATGATGTAGGTGGGTCTTCTATCTATCTGTTGCTTTCATTGGTTAATTAATAAAGAAAACTGCCTGGCCTGGTAAGTCAGAACATAGGTAGGCGGGGAAGACAGAACTGAATTCTGCGAGGAAGAAGGGAGAGGCAGAGAGCCGTCTGCCATGAAGCTGCCAGGTCAGACATGCTGAATCTTTCCCAGTAAGCCACAACCTTGTGGTGAGATACAGATTATTAGATATGGGCTGAATCAAGATGAGAGAGTTAGCCAATAAGAGGCTACAGATAATGGGCCAGGCAGTGTTTAAATGAATACAGTTTCCGTATAATTATTTCAGGGGTAAGCTAGCCGGGGAGCCTGGATCCAGGTGGGAATGCAGCCCGCCGTTCCTTTTTACTACAACTTAACATCATCATCTCAGAGGCATTTTCATCAGATATATAGAAAGATCAATGCTGCTTCTGGTGATGTTGAGTGTGTGTGTGAGTCTGTGCTCACTCCATCTGTAGTGACACATCAGCTAGGACTCTCTAGGAAGTGTCTGTTTAACAGAGGAGAGATAAGAGTTGATGGAAATTTCTTTAAGGTATTTCCCTACATCATTTGCAGAGCAGAGCAGAGCAGAGCAGAGATAAAGCCAGTGCCACAGTGTCCTCACAACTCCAGTTGCTGGTAGAAAAATACCAAGACTGAAACACCCCTCAGTTGGTGGGGGAGACAGTGTATTCTGGGAAAGGATTGATTGATTGATTCAGTAAGTTTTCATCACTCATGTCCCAGGCTAAAATCTGGTGGCCCGTGGGCTGGACTAGTCTCACAGATATGTGCACAAAGGTGTGTGCCTGGGGGGTGGCTGAGCAAGAGACTATATTTACATCTATTTACAAAGTGTTTCCCTCACGGAGTGTCCTTTAATATCTTGAGTAAAATCCGTGCTTTATAAAACACAGCGTAGAAAATGAATGTGTGTTAATGACATCTTTTTGTGAAGTAGAACAGGAATCATTATGGAAAGATTTACTCCTTTGTTATGCGTATATGGTGTGTGCATGTTTACATGTATGCGGGCGAAACTGTATGGGTGTACAAGCTTGTGTGTGTTTGTGTGTGTGTGTGTGTGTGTGTGTGTGTGTGTGTGAATGTGTGGCAAGCTGAGACTGATATTGGGTGTCTTCTGCAGTCATTCTCCACTTTAACACACTGAAGCAACGTCGCCTGCTCTGGTAATCCCTGTCTCCAGCTCTAATGGATACGGGGATTACAGGGATACCCACACCCACTGGACAATTTATGTGGGTGATGTAGATATGAACACCATTTTTTACACTGCTCAGTGAGGGCTTTAAACTAGTGCACCATCACCCCAGCCCCACGGGAGGGTTTTACCATAGAATTAAGCATTGGCATGGAAAGAGAGGGAAAATACCTCTGAAGTCTGTTTAGAGCAAACACACAATCATTTCTAGGTTACTGCATTGGGTCAACTCAGGTCTTATGACCCAGGGCTGTGTGTTATCCCTGTTCCATATGGTGCTCTTTCAAAACAGTGTGGTAAAGATGGTAGACATGTAATGGCTTTACAGGGAAGAAGTAAGTATTGACATAATAATCTAGGACTTCATATAGAAAATAAAACATTTCAGGTTTTAAGATCTATTTCTTCTGTTCCTTAGATCAAGGATAAAGTAGTAAATCAAGTTTTATCTTCATTGTATTCATAATGAAATATTTTAAATCACCGTGAATATAGCAGACATTTTGATTTTCTAAGAATAATATATAAAAATTTGCATGAAGGAGTTTTGCAGCTTTCTAAGCTCTTCAGAACTATATATATATATACATATATATATTTAAATATATATATTTAAAGTTTTACTTTTATCTTATATGTATGGGCATTTGCTTGCATGTCTGTATGGGTACCATGTGTGTGCAGTGACCATGGAGGTCAGAAGGGGGCATCAGATCCTTGGAATTGATATTATAGATGCTTGTGAACCACCTTTGGGATACTGGGAACTGAACAAGGATTCTCTGTGAGAGCAGCCAGTGCTCTTGACTGAAGTCTCATTTCTCCAGTGCCCCAGGGTTATATTTTAATTTTTCATTTTAGCCTTGTCACCTATAGGATTGACATACTTACTGGAAGGCAGCAATAGTTCCGAATAGAAAATTAACCAAGAGCTGTCACTAAGAGAGTCATCTCAGACAAATCAGCGTTTTTGGTTTGTTCTTGATAGTGAGTGAGCAAACTTATGTGGTAAGGTGAGACTCTTACCACTTCTTTCTTCTTTTTCGCAAACTAATGTGAAGGGTGTTTTTAAGCTTTGAAACTCCATTCTACCACATGCCTTCAATGTCAGAGTCAGAAAAACAATGGGTTACCTTACAGGAACTCCATTTAAAGATTACCCATTAGTGGATTTACCTTGCCAGAAGAGGGAGCAAGACCTGTTTGTCCAGCACAGTAGGACAAGAATGACCCAGGACTTGGATTCAAAGCTGAGAAGCAAAGGACCTTAAGGAGACAAGGGGGAGAATACAAGAATACTTCCAGATGAGTAAATCAGCTGCTGTAATGAGGACACAAAGTCAGTGTTCGGCATTGTCTTTTAGATTCTCCATGTATTCCCTCCCATCTGAGGACCATGCGTTAATTCTTTGTCTCATTGCTGTCACAGACTACTCAACAAAAGCAACCTAAGGCCGGAAGGGTGTATTTGGGCACATAGTTTTAAGAGTGCAGAGCAAAGGGTGATGAAGTGGCCTGGTCAAAGCTTGGAGTGGCTGGTTACTGTGTGTCCACAGTCAGGAGGCAGAGGGCAGCGAATGCTGATGCTCAGCTCCCTTTCTAGAACACAAGCCTAGGAGGTGAGGACACCTAATTTTAGGGTGGTTCTTCCAGTCAAACTAACCTGGCCAAGATAATCCCTCATAGGCATGCCCAGGAGCTTGTTGTCAAGGTGATTCTAGGTCTTACCAAGTGGATGGTGTTGACCATCACAGATGGACGAGTAGAATGACCTCTCTTGATGTTTTGAATTTTTCAAGACATCGTGCCTCAATGTGTTAGAAGGGCGTTGCTCAGATTCGTCACCATAGACTCCGGGGGAAAGAAAGGAGGTGTTTTCCATGTAAGTCAGGTGGAAACCATGGTAGGGTCGGTCAACACCAGGGACTGGATCCCCTCCCAGGGAAAGGCCGGCTCCTGTGGATTTCGCAGCTTCCTCTTGTCT